AATATATATGTCCCCACACGAAGTATTCTACAATGGCTTACTTTGTTAACTGCTGCTGTCTAGCGTAAGGAGGAGTTCGTCACCGCGCGCCTCCAAACCAAGTAGAGATAACAGAAAATTGGCTTGTTCTGTGCAGTGCTGGGACGCACTGAGGCGGCATTCGAAAAAAGTCTTCTGACCTGCACATACAGTACAAGGCAGTTCAACATTAGTTCTTACGAGCCACTATCCCTAGTATTCACCTTACTTGTTTTCTCGAAACACTGCAAAAAGCTATTACTCAGCTTTACACAATCCATTAAAACCTTCCATACCTCTTCATGCGATCAGACCGCTTGCGCATTGACGTGGAGATGCACGCCAAGAGGAGCACGAGACTCCAGTTATGGTGCGACACAAGGTGGCTGCAGACAGCCTAAAAGTTTATCCCACTTCGACTGCTCCCACTTCTTGTACAGGTGTTTTGGTTCGCCGTCCTTCAGCAGCGCATTCCCGAATTTATTGTACAGCCGTAGCTTCGGGTCGAGTTTGTCCATTGCACTTGTCACCATCATCGACTTCTTCACGTCTTCTAGCTCTTTTTCTTTTTTTAAGTCATTCAATAACTCTTTCGCCAACTGACCTCCACGTTTTGAGTTGCCTCTGTGCCCCATCAGCATCTCGAGAGCGCAATTGCCTTTTTTGGCTGTCACTATCGAATCGCCCACCGTCGCGAGATGCTACGCGTGCTTCCGAGATTTTGACCGAACTTGCACTCGTTTCTCCCGAGTATGAACCGCACACTGCGTAGATTATTGTTGATACGAGACACACGACGAAGCTGCAGCCCGCATTTGAAATCGGAAAATGAAGGAAGCACCCAGTGCGAAACGTATCGCAGAAGAGACCCTGTTGTGCAAAGCGCTAGCCAGTATTACCTAATAAGTCTCGTTTGGAATAACTTTATGTAGAAAAAGGTAGAAGCTCGCCTATCCGAATGGTGGAAGAAGTCCTATCAGATATAGCAGTTTATCAATTCACTCAGGTCGTTTTCGAAAAAACGCATTTTTTGCTAAAATATGTAAGCGAGGTGAGATATCAAGTTGAACTACCAGTATGGATTTAAGTGCAAAAGTCTCGTCTAGCCTACTAACGTTTTTCGAGTAAAAAAGACCTCAGAATTTCGTATCAATGGACGTGAGTACTATCGTATACGACAGGATATCGTGTTTCTCTAGTTTCGATTAGGACAGGTCTTTCAGTCCCTGTATTCGCGATTCGACATTTGCAATTCTTCGTTCTAGAACGATTGGTCACCGGTTCACCTAATAAGCATCATTATTACAGTACACGTCGCTCTGTAAGTTGCGGGCGTTAACATGGAACGCATCATCCCGGGTGGTGTTTTTTAAAGCACCGCATACTGTACGGTAAATGTGCATACCGGTACTAAACACAGGGGTTAGGGAACGGTACCAAAACTGAGGTACAGCTTTCGGCAGTGGTCCAGTCGACACAAGAGAGTGTATCAATAGTACTGTAATTCCTCCAATTTGGAGTCCAAAGTACACCATTGGAATCGTTGACTTCAGGTTTTACAAATAAAACATGGTTTGAAAAAAATAACTCTGGCAATATCTACATGGAAACAGTACTCAGAAGCTGCGGCTGCGAAGCAGTTGCCGAAGATGCATGAAGCAAGCATGCATTAAATGAATCCAGGTATGGAGCATATACGTTGCTACATGTCATTAAACACCAGTTGTATTAAAATGTCAAGCTCAGATCTAAAAAAAATACGACTTATTTTCAATTTTTTAACATACACTTATCGCTTTAGCTTTCGCAGTGCGAATCTAATGACCTAATTTGAAAAGTATCGCATCGGCTTCTCGAGTTTAAGATACCGTTTAATAAATCACAACTAATAAACTTTTGTTTGAGGAAGAGCTATTGCTGCAGTGTTTTTTCTGTAATAATCGCTGCTTGTGTTTTTATGTCGAATATTACGCGTCCCACAATGTACTATATGTACTTTAATTACTGCTACATAGAAGACTACGCTATCGGCAGATTGCAAAAACATATCGTACTTAGCGTTGCTTTTAGGACAAATACAGTAGAACTAGTTTAGGACGTTTAGTTCTCTTCCCGTTCTTTTTTTCAATTTATCTCCGGGTCCCACGTGCACGAAATATCAACTTTAGCGCAACGTCAACGGACTGCAAACAAAAAAGAAGTTATCCCCAACATCATTCAATTCCACATTGGAAATCGCACACCATGGCGACGGCCAGTCTCTCGTCCCAAACAACGCACTCACGCTCCGTCTTGACACTAGATGGGTACGTGAGTCGTGGTATGGCTCCACCCGACTCTGTGCCTCGATATTTCGCAATATTGCAGGAATTTACGGTGTACTTGGAGCTTCGCCTCAAGTGTGTGAACATGCCAATGCTGCGTCGCATCTTCGCTGATTTTCTAAACGATCACGAGAACACGTTGGTCCCCATGATGAAGCAGGGATGTACCATCGTCACCATCTACCCGGTGTTGAGTACCAATGCTCAGCGACGTCACCAAGCAGAACTTCTGCTCGCCAAGCCAAAGCAGCACCTCGACGCACATGGATGTGTCTTCCTGTATCTGCAGTACCGCACAGCGACACGGAACATGATGCTACTTAAGCATTTGTTCAAAGAGTTCGTGTATCACCAGGATGCGACGTTGCTGGAGTTCGTAAAAAGAGGTTGTCAAGTGATCAGTGTCATTCCATTCGAGCTACCACAGGCGATACTATCGGTACAGCCCCCTCCTCGAGTAAAGAACCCTTCTCCGACTAGTGACGCTGCAACGGAGCAGCAACATGCTTGTTCGAAGACTGCAATCGATGTAGCCGGTCCGTTGATCTCTCAGAAGAAAAAGCGAGGGAGACAGAAGAAACCAAAGACTAACGCAGCAGAATTCGAGGTACCCGGGGGGTCTTCGAAGCAGAAGAGCGCCTGGAAGCGTAAGTCCGAGACTACAGCGATGCGAACTAGTGACGGGAGTGAAGAGAAGCCAAAGAAGCGAGGCAAGACGGCAATGAGTGAGGAGGAGTGCCGCAATCAAGTGAAATTGGCCAGAAAGATGGAGACTTTTGAAGCGCAAATCCCATGGGAGGCAGTCTTTGATAACGTACCTTGTCCTTTTGATGAAGAAGAACACCCTGCACTAGCATTAAAATTTCGCATTTTTTGGCGCAAGCACTCCCGGGCTGTGTGGGAGCGCAAGTTCTGGTCCCCAGTGTCTCGCAAAGTCAGTATCGAGGCGTGCAACAAACGCAGTAATCGTCAGCTCATTGCCAGGAATGCGTTTGAGTCTCTTTTAATTTCGGCGTACAAGGAGCTTGGTGCGGAATTTTTCGTCAAATTGGACACGCAGAAACCTCGACACCGAGGCTGGTGGTATCGTGAGCCTGTGGTGGCTTTATTAGCGCTACAACAGATGAAGGGGGAGGAGTTTATGTGGGACTACGTTATGAACGAATGGCTAAAACGGTTTCCAGACTGTCATCTTCCTCTTCCTCTGACGGCCTCGAATACTGGAGCGAAGCGTATTCAAAACAAACGAGCGAGTGCCTCGGTGTGGATCATCAATCCGCAGACAGCTGTGATTCTCTGTAAGATGGCGGAACTCAAGGCAGCGGAGTTGGAGAGGCAGTGACGGAGTGGAGATTCACGAAGAAAGTGTATTTCGGGAGGTGGAAGGCTTTCCAGTCCTGTTAGCTTGTATGTTCTTAGCTGTATGAAGATAAAGCGATGTGATTATGAGGAGCATGTTGACAGTGATGAAGTGTTTTGGGGTTTTCCTCGTTTTAAGACAAAAAAAAAGAAACAATACTTATTATTTTGAAAAAGTACCGACATGTACCTAAAGAATTCGTACTTATTTAAAATACTTTAAAGTAGTAAAAATAGTAAATCTGATTTCAGTGATTGTTACGAAGAGGAATTAGAAGAATACAAATCCAGAACTACTGAGTAGGTGCAACCTTGTGGACAAAGCGTAATTTATCAATGAAGAATCGTTCATATTTATACTGTCGAATACTATCTTGCAGCAGGATATACCAATGACTCCTATCTGCTCTGAGGGTCAGAAACCCCAAGACGATTGATATTCACCCGAAATACATACTCATCTCGTTACGCATACCTGTTGTTGCACGTCACATAAGGATACTACACCTATAAACACCGGCTTTAGAAGCCACTTGCTCGTCGTCGATCCATGGATTTGGCGTTGCTGGTCGGCTGAAAGCCACGCAGGTTCGTGAGCAGCGTATTCCCGGGGTAATATAAGCGTGTGTGGCGACTCGATCGGTTCGACGCCTATAGCCTCGTCGTCGCCTTCGTACGCGACTTCGTTCAGCACGTCGATGGTGAGGTTGGCAGAGGCCCAAATAGTCCGAGTCCATGCTGGTATTGCGAGACCGACTACGCCAACGCTGGTTGCAGGAGATCGGGACGATGGCGGCCATTGTGGATAGCAGAGACATTAGCTTGTAGCCTTTGGTAGTTGCTGGTAGTTTATGGAGTGAAAACACAAATGATAGCTTATTAATCATGGCGTCCATGGTTTTCTCCTTACTGCAAGCAGCTGCATGGCTGACGAATGCTCTTAACCCTGCCATCTTGAAAACATGCTAAAATCTTCATACAAAACCTTGATTCTAATGTACCAACGTCAGCGGCAGATGACAAGTACGCAAGCCATATGCCAGCCAAATATGGGTGCGTTTTTCCCTGTTTCCTTTATTCTTTACATGTAGGAGCATCGATTGGTGGGGGCAATTGCGAAAGCTTACCTTCAATTGGATAAGAGCGATTGGTGACCTTGAAGATGTCATCTTTGGCAATGCGATGGGCACGTCATTCTCAAAGACATCGTAAACCTTATGAAAAAAAAGTGTTTTTATTACAAATACTTTTTTGCTTCGCTCAAGGAATTTTACATGTTAACCTTATTTGAATGTTTATTTACACGGCGGAGTGCATTACAGGGACCTCAGCTCTTGGTGTGCGGATACTGGCATAAGACACGGCTGACACCCGATTGTCCATGTTTTTGCTTTCTTCAAGCAGTTTGCGCTTCTTGTGGACGACCACTGCCACGCCAACAACCGGTCCTAAAGCCACACAGACAGCAGCAATGAGACCGCCAATGGCTGCGGTCGAGTGAAGACCGCTACTACTACTCGCTTCTTCCTGAACGGAAGCTTCCGTAGCTGAAGGCGTCGAATCGGGCGTCGGTACCGGCGTTGACGATGCAATTTGAGTCGTGGAAGCGCTCGATCGTTCACTAGAGACCGACGCGCTCGCAGAGTCGCCGATAGTGTCGCTCGAAGTCGAATTGGTCGACGACACCGTCGCCGACGTCACTACAACACTTGACGAGTCCGACGTGGACGAGGACGACTGAACGGTCTGGTTTGTAATCGAACTAAGCGTCGGAGTCACCGTAGCTGTTGGGGTATCAGTGATTAACTGTGGGGTGGTCGTGGTGGGCGTGGAGGGGGTCAAGGTGGGGGCTTCCGTCGACGGGGCTGTCGTCGCCGGTGCTGTCGTTGGCACTTCCGTCACAGGAGCCGTGGTTGGTGGTGCCGTAGTGGGGGCGTCTGTGACCGGAGCTGTAGGCGCTTCTGTTAGCGGTGCTGTCGTTGGTGGAGTTGTGGTTAAATGCGTCATCGGAGCTTCGGTTGGTGGGGCGGCTGTTACCGGTGTCGTTGTTGGTGCCTCCGTCACTGGGGCTGTCGCTGGTGGGGCAGAAGTGGGGGCTTCAGTGATTGGAGCTAAAGAAGGGACGACATAGGTTGGCGTCAAGGTAGTTGTTGGTGCTGACGTAGGGGGTGTTTTGGTCGAAGAGATCGTCGTTTGAGAGGTGTCACCACTAGAGGAGAACTGCGAACTACCTTCTGTACACTCGTCGGCTGTCAAGGACAGTGTCTCCTCCAGCATTTCACCGTTCACACCAGTCATCGAAATGCTTATGGAGCTTAAATCTGCCACACTCTCCCCGCTTCCATCGATCAGGAAGTAGTAGGCTGAGTCGATCACCGAAGTCTCTTGGCCATTGATCGACAGACTCTTCACACCGGACGCACAGTTCGTAGGTTGCACTGCCACCCAGAACCCACTACTACCCGTCTTCAAACAGTACTGTACGTTGTTCGAGATCGGACAATCCACAAACTTCCACTCGATGCTCAGCTTCGTGTACGATTGGCCCGTGATGCTCTCGAACACGTCCGGAGACAGATCCAGATCGCCGTACGCACAACCCGGACACTGGTCCATGATGTACACGATCTCGGACTGACCCGAACACGACGCGTCGGTGCATGAGACCTCGGCGCATCGGCCGCAGTTCATGGTCTCTTCCCATTGCTCGGCGTTGAGTGCAGCGTACTTGGTGACGGCAGCGTCCGGCCAGCTCATGAAGTTGCAATTGCCGCTGGACGGCGTACCAAGCGTGTAGACTGTGCCATACCCTTCGTACGTGGTTGATGCCGACACAAGGCACGGAATAACCAGTAGCAACACACTGACAACTTGCTGCGATGTCATTTTGTCAATGGTGAGCCAATAAATGTGAGCTTCACAGCAAAATTGAGAGTGATCGGTGCCGCACTTAACAGTGTAGATGGAAAGATCTTTTAGGCTGAGACGTACGTACGGAAGAGTGCACTGACGTGGTGGAAAGCGGCGTGAAAATGATGGTACATGCAAGCACGCGTGCGGTCGTTCGGCTGTCATGCATCATGGCTGCCCCTGCCGAGCGCGTTCCATTTTCCAGCAAACGGTTGCAGCTGTTGCAAGTGGCGAGTTGCGCAAGAAGGGACTTGTTCTGCTTGGTCTCCTTCAGAATCGGAGACGTTTCTGTACTCCCGCCACGTCAGTGGAGTGGGACTCGAGTCGGTGGGACTCGTCGGATGGGTGGCGGTGAGTGTACGGACGCGAAGCGTGTCAATCGACGCACGGTCTGATGCATTTCTGGCTAGAAATCATTCGAGGCTGCAGCTTTGCGACTTGCGTGCTCGCGCCGCGCAAATTGCACGTCAGGTTCAGTCTACCGTCTTCGTTAAGCGTTGCAGTGCCCTGCCAAGTGGTCAAGACTTAGTGGGTTCTTTTACTGCGTCACTTGCACGACAAGTGATAACGCTGCACGCACGCCATTGGCACGGAGCGAGTCACTTCAAGCGATACTCGTTTTTGCAAGTTCAAGGTGTTAAGTTAAATCAGTGGAGACGTTCGCTTAGTTATTTGCTGAGGCGAGTCAAAAGAAATCTTTTCGCGAAACGTGCTACCATCATCCTTAAATTTTGGTGTCTCTAGCTTATAACTACGAGTGCTAGACTACCCAACAACTAACTTTTTTTTAACTATCCGTACTTGACCTTAACAATACTACTTATACTCTGCTCCCCTTTGACTCCACCGAGGAAAAGTGAATCGTTGGGCTGTGTACGATGTCGTAGACCGACGCGTCCGACGCCTGAGGCGACACGTCGTCGTCGGACATGGCTGTACCCTGTTCCTCACGACGCTTGTATGAGTCGATCTGCCTCTTGCGACGACGTACGTACAGTGCCAAAGCAACAGTAATTATCACTGCAACACACACCAGGACGATCATTCCAATCATCAAAGGTGTCGAGTGGGACCCTCCGGAGCTTTGGACATTTGACTGAATGGGGTCATCAGGTTTTGGAGAAGTGGGAGACTGCACGGTATCTGGTACTGTCACCGTCTCGTGGCCATAGTTCGATCCCGACGTTTGTCCAATTTTGGGGTAAAAGTAACCCACGTCTTCGTCGTCAGCAGAATTCGATGAAGAACTACTGGGAGTATAACCCGAACTTTCACTGCTCGACGTAACCGGGTACCTCTTTGCGTTTAACGTGGCCGTCGGAGTGGGCGTCGGGGTGGCTGTCGGTGCTGGAGCCGGCGCAGTAGTCGGAGATAACGTGGGGGGCGTTGTGGAGCTATACGTTGAGGGTGAAGAAGTATCAGCGAAAGTTGTCGATTGAGATACGTCACTGGTGCCGAACTGCTTCCTTCCTTCGGTGCATTCGTCGGCGGTCAAAGACAGTGTCTCCTCCAGTACCTCACCGTTCACACCAGTCATCGAAATGCTTATGGAGCTTAGATCTGCCACACTCTCCCCGCTTCCATCGATCAGGAAGTAGTAGGCTGAGTCGATCACCGAAGTCTCTTGGCCATTGATCGACAGGCTTTTCACACCGGACGCACAGTTCGTAGGTTGCACCGCCACCCAGAACTTACTGCTACCCGTCTTCAAACAGTACTGTACGTTGTTCGAGATCGGACAATCCACAAACTTCCACTCGATGCTCAGCTTCGTGTACGATTGGCCCGTGATGCTCTCGAACACGTCCGGAGACAGATCCAGATCGCCGTACGCACAACCCGGACACTGGTCCATGATGTACACGACCTCGGACTGACCCGAACACGACGCGTCGGTGCACGAGACCTCGGCACATCGACCGCAGTTCATGGTCTCTTCCCATTGTTCGGCGTTGAGTGCAGCGTATTTGGTGACGGCAGCGTCCGGCCAGCTCATGAAGTTGCAATTGCCGCTGGACGGCGTACTAAGCGTGTAGACTGTGCCGTACCCTTCATAGGCTGTAGAAGCCGATACCGTCGCGGCTAGAAATACATTAGGCGCCATGTAGGTTGACGTCATGTTGCTTCGTCGAGACATAACCCACTTGTGTAGTGAGATGGAAAAAGGTGAAATGAGGTAGTGCGCGACTTGATGAGAAGCGTGTGGTCGCGGCCAGCAGCACCGGAGCCACCTACAGTTTACCAGCTGTGCTAGCTGCCATTGGATCCATGGTGAAGGCTTTTATCTCGCGAATCCGTGGAAACCATCGACAATGGACACTGTCTCTAGCCGGTCAAGTGGCGTGCGTGCGTCGGACGTGGGATTTATCTCGAGACGAGTGGTGGCGCCGGCGGAAATGGCTCAGTTTATGGTCGATGCATCGCGCGACTTGCCTGTCACGCAACACCACGGTTTAACGCCGAGTTATTAAATACCAAGGCCAAGGTCTCCGGAAAGTAAGCGTATCGCTGAAGTGTGGGATTCATGCATCTGGCGTAGGTCGACGGCGCCGCGAGGCTGTGGTATGTGAGACAATAAAAGTTGCTGGCGTGCGTTCCTCGTTCGGATCGTTACCCGACAACATGAACATGAACCAACTCGTTGGGCCGCTTGATGCGTTAACGCGTTTAAAACTCTGCCGCGTCGCGCTTTCGATGATGCGTCACGTCTCAGCTTCAGAAATAGCCGACACTTGACGAGCAGTAATTAGCGCTACTTCAAAATACTTTACAAATAACAAGATTGCTAAAATGATGTGGCGCACAACTGCCACTTAAACGTGAGTTTCAGCACGACGATGATGTCCTGTCTGGCAACAACATGACAGCTGACTCAGGTGGACCTGAGAGCGAGGTGGCACCACTGAAGACTTTTTCAGTGTTTCCGAGCTAAGAAAATTGATGCATCTACATGTATCTATTAATTCGAGCTACTTAAATAGCTTGCATTAAAATACTTGCTACATGTACAAGGATACCCAGCCAATTAGATACTTGAACAGTTGGGAGGCTGTGGTGTGGTAGCTGTAGTGAACGAGAAGGGCATCTGCTCGTCGATGGCGACGTTTGTGTGGTAGTCACTTTCGGCCGATTGACGACCTTCATCGTGCTTCTCCTGCTCTAATTGTTCGTCCAGCTGCTTTTTCTTCTTAATAACGAAGTACATGACGGAAATAACGATGATGAAGAGACATCCAAGCACGGCCAGAACGCTCACGACGATGGTTGGTCCTGTACCCGCGTCACTGGATCGGTTCGTGACCAATTTACCGGACTTGACATTGTCAGAAGACGGTGATGTCGTCGGAGGTACAGTATCCACGTTGCTCGTCGGAGCATTTGTTGCAGTCAAAGGGGAACTTGTCTCCGTTGCTGCCGTGGTAGGTGCTTCGGTCTTTGCTGGAGCTTCAGTCGAGGGATTTGTGACTGTTTTGAAAGTATTAGTTGCAGCTTCATGCGTTATTGGTGGAGTAGTCTTCGACGCACTAGTCGCAGTCTTGGTCGGAGTTCCACTTGGGACGCTCGTTGGAAAACTTGTCCTTGGCGGCTCCATTGTTGACACACGAGTTGGAGCTTCAGTCGGAGTATTCGTTGGAGTATCTGTCGTTGGTACACTAGTCACTGGGGGCTCAGTGACAGACTCAGTAAAAAGATTCGTCCTTGGCGGTTCCGTCGTTGGTGCGCTTGTCGGAGCTTCCGTTGGCGGTTCGGTTGTCGGAACTTCGATCGTTGGAGGGTTCGTCGTTGACGATTCCGTCGTTGGGGCAATAATTGGGGTCTCGGTCGGAGCGCTGGTTGGCGTACTCGTCGGGGTTGTAGGTGGGGCATCGGTTGGAGATTCCGTCGACGCCTCCGTTGTCGGTTCTGACAGCGTTGAAACACCGACACTTGCACTTTCACCTTGAGTGAATTGCGACGTCCCTTCGACACAGTTTCCATCGGTGAAGGACAGGACGTCCTCAATCGTCTCACCTGATACGCTAGTCAGCGTGATTTTCAGGTGGGACAGATCCGATTTCACGGTACTAATGCCGTCCAGGAGGAAGTAAAAGGATGACGCCACCATGGACGTCGGCTTGCCATCGATTGTGACGGAATCCACCCCTACGATCGTATGTGTCGGTTGAATCGCAGCCCAGAACGCATTGCTACCCTCCTTAAGACAGTATTTGATGTTCCCGGACGTAGGGCAGGTCACAAATTCCCACGAGATCTCTACTTTCGAGGGCGTCATGCCAGTGATCGCTTCGAATACCGTCGGAGAGAGATCGAGGTCGCCGTCATTGCAACCAGGACACTGGTCAACGACGTACACGATCGCTGACTCCTGCGACCGACCGGAGCATTGAGGATCGGTACACGTCACCTGGGCACAGCGACCGCAACTCATTGAGTCGTCCCATTGCACTTTGTTGATTGCCACAAAATTTGACACCGCAGCTTGCGGGTAGTCCATAAAGTTGCAATTACCGCCGGACGGGTCAGTGAGTCCGTACGTTGTTCCTTCTCCAGTGAAGGCACGCGTAGAACCGAACGCTACTGCGACGGCGAGGAAAGCCTGCTGAAAAGAATACATATTGGCTTAGCGCTCTTGAAGTCGTCGTGGTCGCTGTGGTTAACGTCGAAATTGAAAATGAGGAGATCGAGCGAATACCGATCGGTTTTCAAGAATTAGACGAGGTGTTTCAGGCTGTACCCACTCCGTGTGTCGTTTCAAGTGTACTTCCTTGCCACATTGGAGCTCTAATCGGCACCACGACAGGTCGGTGACCTCGTCATCTCGACTACATGTCAGTGATCCCCACAATGCTGACGGTTGCTGCAAATAGCGACAAGGAGACACTATGCGCTCCATCGTTTTCTGTGTCTGTCCTATTGGCGAAACTGCGGTCACCTGGATAACTGGACCGAAGGGTGCAGCAAAACTACAACAGAAACCAAGCACCAGTCTACATTAAAACTAAATTTTAGACCGCCATAGCTAGGAATTTTCCACCCCAATAATTGTACTAACCCAAAGTTTGCCAAACTCGCCATTTTCACTTCAGTATTGCCACTCGTTTAACCGTAACAGGACGAGATGGTCGATTCCAGTTTTGTCGTACTCTAGCTTCACATTCTCTTGCGGACAACAGGATCGCATTAGATACAGGATCGTGAGCATTGGCCGCGTTCTGAAATCAAGCGCAGCCATCTTCAGCTTTTCACTTCGGTTTTTTATGGTCCGACCTTTGCGTTGCAGTGGAGATTCTCCACTGGAGAACGAAATGCTGCTGAATTCAATCGGGTGCAAAAGTGTCAGAGAGCGCACTGACGTGGCGAACAAGACTCTTCACGGAATCCTCGAGCCCGCGATCGCGTTTTTGAGCTTCTAAAGATAACGAGAGATCAAGTGAATCACCGCAACAAATAACATAAGGCTTCGCACGCGCCACCAACCTGTGCATTCTACTACTGTACTATGCTCAAGAGGAAGCAGTGTATGACCACTGACAAAAGGAGAAAATAACGGACTGAACGTGTAATTATACGCTACTGGTCGACGTGAGCTGAAAATAACGTTATTTGCAAAACTTTTGTCTAAATCTTGGCAATGTTGGTCGCGTTAATTTCGATCGGAGAGCTGAACGTGTCGAAGGATCGAATCATGGCTTCATCGCGGTCGATTCGCTTGTCGTCCAGTTTTTTCTTCTTAACGACGTATGCGATGGCGGCCAGGGCGATACCGCCGACAACTGCCAGCACGATGAGTGCCACAACAACTGGACTCGTGCCTGACGAGTCCGCCGCAGACTTGGTGTTTGCCTGCTTGGTGTCGGAACCGGCAGTCTGCTTTGTGTCGTCAGTGTCGTCCTGTTGCTGGGTGCTGGGCGTCTTTTCGACGCCGGCCTCACTGGACTGTAGAATAGACACGCCGCTGCCTGAGTCGTCGGCTGCCGTCACCTTTCCGGCCTTGTAGGTCGTGGAGGCCGAGTTATTTGTCAACGTGTTAAAGTAGTTGCTCACCTCGCTCTGCTGAGTCTGAGACTGAGACGCACTGTTGCTAGTGAAAGTGTACGACGTCTGCTGCGTCTGAGTCTGGGACTGAGACGCACTGCTGCTGGCGAAAGTGTACGACGTGGGTGTCGCGGTCGTAGTGGTCGGCGTTACAGTCGTAGGTGCCGGTGCCGGAGTTGCCGGTGGTGCAGTCGTAGGTGTCGGCGTTGGAGCAGCAGTCGATGGTGTGGGTGTAGGAGCGGCAGTCGTAGGTGTCGGGGCGGTCTGGCTGGTAGGTGTCGAGCTCTGTTGCGTCGTGCTAGCGCCGAAGTTGGACGTGCCCTCCGTGCAGTTGTCGGCTATCAGCGACAGCGTCTGAGTGATGGTCTCACCCGAGACGGAGGTGAGCTCAACGCTCACCGCCGACATGTCGACGTTCGATCCGCCGTTCAGAAGGTAATAAAAGCACGAGTCCACCATCGTCACATCCTGGTTGGCAATTTTCATGCTGGCCACACCATTGGCAAAATTTGCGGGCTGAATGGCTAGCCACGAGCTGCTACTGCCACTTTTGGTGCAGTATTGGACGTTGCCACTTACGGGACAATCGACGAACTTCCATTTGATGGTGTAGCGGGACGGGTCACTGCCGGTGAGTGCTTTGAACACGGTCGGGGACAGATCCAGGTCACCTTGCTTGCATTCCGGACACCTGTCGACGATGTAGACGATCTGTGTGCTGGTCGTGTCGCTGCATCTGGGGTCGTCACAGGAGACCTCGGCACATCGGCCACAGTTGTGGGTCGATTCCCACTGCTCGTTGTTCAGTGCGGCGTAGTTGCCACCGACGCCGGGGTCGTACATGAAGTTGCAATTGCCGGCGGATACCTGTCCGAGCGTGTACGACGTGCCGTCGCCTGTGAAGAAGGTGTCGCCGCCTGCAAGAGCCATAACAGGCATGACTATTGACAAGAATGAAATTTGTCGGAACATCACTCTCCGACTGTTGCCCCACTTGAGTTGGTAAGGCGTGGCAACAGGCACCAAATGAGAGTGCTCGTGAGGTGACCAGGGCAATTCGCGATTGGCACGGAGCGGAGTGTCCGGAAATGAAAAAGAGCAAATCGAGTTGCCAGAGCTGGTCCCACGTAGCAAAAAATATGTTGCTTTCAGTATGTGGCGATCCCCGTCGTCGACAGCGCCACTCGATTCTTGGACTGTGTCTCTTTTCACACACTGCAATAAAGCCTATTCCGTGTTCAGCACTAAATTAAACTAAAGAAGCGTGATTTCGACCTATGTTACAGCATGATCGGGCCAGAGGGGTTGCACGGACCAGTGCTGATGCCAGCCAGACTGTCACTCCAACAACCTTGCTAAAGTCCAGTGTGAAAATTATTTAAAGCATGTCAATCGCCGTAGAAATTGACTCGCAAACATTTACTAAATGTACATGTACAGTACGTTAGGCGAACGCTGTTTGCTTTCATTGCTGCTTCCCCAAATTCTGTGCCAGAGGCCACGAACTGATTCTCCAAACTCTGATCCTGCAGTTTACCGGTAGGATCAGAACGATGGCGCCTATTAATAACGTTACACCGACTGCCATCGGCTTGTAGCAATACTCTTCTCTTTTTCATGATGCGAGTACTTCATTTTTAAGAAGTTCGGACGCATCAGAGTCCGAACTTCGGGCTCGAAGTCACCTCGTCAAACCTATAAACCTTTCCTTTCTTCGCGCTACCGAGATCATCTCGGCGAGATGTGCTCGTCACTTGGGAAAATCTCGGAATTTGGCAAATGCAGTAAAATAAGTACCGATACTGTGCATCGGATATGAGTCGTCTTGGTTCGAGGAAAGCCGACCCGATAGGCGCTTCAAGAAGAATACAACAGTGCTGTGCAGCGCCATCTCCAGAGCTGTTGTTACAAGTACACGAACAACATTACATGCGCGTTCGCTCTCAGAATTCACGATTTCAGGATGTGGCTCTCGCAGCTGGTCGCTTTGCCAAAACGTCGCCCTCTCACGGAATGGCGCTTCTCCAGTGGTGTCGGACTGACAACTTGTCAATGGCCATCGCTCTTATTGAAATACACAAGATGCGAGATATAATTTTCACCACCGACAATTATGGGGGAGGACAAGAAGTCCGGAATTTTCGAAGCCAGGATATCATCGCCACTTGCCCTGCAGGCTCGGTGGTCGGCTGTGGCTTTCCGCTTGTCTCGGTAACTATGTTAGCTCACACGAGAATAGGCCAATGGATTGGAGTACCGGTTGTGGTTTGCCGGCACTACAGTAGGTCGTCGTTGCTATTGTTTGGCCACTGCTCTCAGTTGTCGGACCAAAATCCCTGCCCCCCCCACATTGCCGTCGTAATGCGTGCCATCGACAATTATGACTGTCATGTGCTTGCAAATGGTAAGGCGGTGGATCTCATCCAGCTGCCAGTGTACCTCAGTGACGGTGTCAACACCTACATGACCTAAGTCTGCCACACAGTCGCACTCCATTTCCTATTTACCGTACTTCGTGATACCTTCCTTCAAATATTATGAATTGGACAGCAAACAACACGCTTGACTCGCTGGGTATGTTGCTGAAAGCAGCCTCGGATGCTCGCCCTCAAATATTCGCACCAACGAGCATTTTCTGTTGGACGATCCTCAAAAATATTTTTACTAAAATATTTTTCTTGACTTAAGAAAATAGCCTACTTTATGGGCAGGCACAATTTGAAATTTACTTATGGATTTTGTGCATTCCTTCACGAAATTTATTGTCCTCGCTGGGCAGCCACCGGAATTTCGCTGGCTCTGAGCTGTCTGCAAACCGAAGCCACCGACGCAAACTCACTTTGCACGCACACACCTCAAACTAGTAACTCTCGCAAGATCAGCCATGCCTAACGCTCCTCTGTTGCCTTCCCAGCGCTCGAGTTCTCCCCGAAGCCATCAATTTAGTAACACTATCACGTTTTGAAGAAGATATTCACAAGTTAATTATATTCAAATTTCTGAGCTACCATGCAGGTATCTATTTTCATTAGACAAAGAATCCATATAAATAATATTTTGAGGAACCCTGTGTGCTAATATCGGAAATGCAATCGATGAGAGTTCATGTCAAAACGACGTCCGATTATTGCATTTTGTCTTTTACTTATCAAAGCAGATTTTTTTTTAGTTATGGTAACTGGCAAGTAACAATAGATTATTGAGCATTCTCATCACAAGAAATAGATTATTAGATACGAAAATTGGAGCCAAGTGTACTAACATGTAAGGAATGGAGGGATTCGACAATAAACTATTTATGTATTAATAGTGAGAACTGATAATTGGTATCCATCCCAGAAAAGCTTCCAGTAAAAAATTGGTAACACATTATTGCAATAATTGCGGCAATTTATTTTCGGCCCCTCCGCATCCTTGGGCTGGTGAGTGGCGCGAAAGCGACGTCTGAGACATATATTTAACCCTTTCACTACCGACACCATTGTGCGCTGTTACATGTCCGCAGCAGACCTGTAACTGGATACACAAGCATTACTGATTGGTAAAAACTCTCCCAGCGGGGTTTAGGTCTACAGCTCACAAGGACTAACAGGTCCTCACCGGACCCGTATCAACACATCTCCGTAGCATTACTGCTTAAGACATAATAGTTTGTGGCCCCAAGGTTGCCACCAATTTTCACTTCTCTCACTGTCAATCGTTATTTTGCACTCTTCTAGCAATGGACATATCTGAACTACTGAGCAACAACGACGATGAAGCCGACTGAGAATTCGAGACTTCTGATATTGAGGAGGTGGAAGACGCGCTGCTGCCGTCCTGTCAAACGAGGAGGTGGACATCGCAACAGAATCGGATAGCGAATCAGCGTCATCAGCTGAGGAAACGATGCCAATATCTGACAGAACTGGCAACGCGTATGTAGATGGAATCATTCAGCACAGCGGGCTACACATTATACGGAACGGAGAAGTGAGTGCCGCCTACAGAAACCGCGGTGAGCTGGGTCTTTTCTCGCTTTTCTTCACGAGAGAATTCAGAGATTCGCTACACAGTTGGACCCAACGCAATGCTAAAAGATAAAGGGAAACCTGAAGCCACTGTCTACGAGCTTGATGCCTATCTAGGATTGGAGATAGCCATGAGTTTCAACCCTGTAACAGATATCAAGGAGCTCTGGTTGCGTAAGTTATTTATGGGCCAATCCGACTTCGCGTTGACCATGCCAAGAAATCGATTTGAGAGCATTAGAGCGCGCTTTCAGGTTCACGCACCAGATAGTGTCCCTGTTGACCGGCGAGAACAGGATCCACTATGGCACAGCCGGCGTCTTATGGCTCAGATCCAGGAAAAGTTTGCTGCAATTGCAGTACCGGTAGGGGCTGTGAGCCTCGACAAGAACACAGTTCGCACCAAAGCTCGATCGGCTGCGAAGACATTCATGCCTTCGAAGCCAGATAAATATGGTGTGCGCTTTTACGCTGTAAGGGAATGGGAGAGTTTATATGCGTACTCAGTGTGAGATAACGGATCTGGTAACCGAACGAGAACGTCTCCTGCAGAGAGATACGTCGGGTTGTTTCCTGGGCTACGCTCGGCACTATTCAGGACGCTCGAGCGTGCCGACATTCCCATGGATCGAACAGATGCTAGCGCTCTCTGGATCGCAATGTGTGGCCATCTCACGAAAACACATCAGGCAGCGAGTGGCCACCGGCTGCTAGTTTGTGATAATTTCTATACGAGACACAATTTGGCAAAGACGCCATCGGCATTTACTGATGGTTAAATGAAGATGTTGGGTACGGTGCGAATATCACTGCAGGGTAAGTGGAATGCAATGGAATTAGAAGCGGCGAAAATTAGGATTGACAAAGCTGAACGGGGTTCATGGGAGATGGTTGCGGCGGTAGACGTGCCATCGGACTGGCAGAGACAACAAGACAAGCATAAAAGAGCTCAGAAGAAAGTACTGCCGCACCAGAGGACGCAGTATATAGCACCGATGGCTATCGCTCCTAATGCGGGATATATCGTCTTTCGAGACAAGCTTACCGTAGTTTTCTACATGAACGACTTGGCTGGTACACTTTCTCAGCGTGTACTATCAGGTGACTCTGATGAAGCAATATGGCTGTGTCGTGGGCTTGCCCCGCTGCGGCGTTGGACACTAGACAGCGTGCTGCATCGCAAAACATTCACGTCCCAGCAATGGTGGTCGCGTAAAATTTGTTCATGAACGGTGTGGACCGAGTAGATCAAATTGGGAGCACCAATCCAATTCGCCGGAAGGAGCAGCGACTATCAATGAGTATTTTGACGTGGTCCTTGGATTTAGCGCTCATCAATGCGTTTTCAATATTCAAAAAGGTTGCAGGACCTAAAGCAGCGCGGGTGAAGCTCCGCGACTTCAAGTAGAGAGTGGCCGAGCAACTGGCAGCTGTGCAAAGAGCCAAGCTCGCAAAAGAGCGTCGCTGTGAGCCGTCACCTAGCAAGCCAATAGCAGACGTCGTGGGGGCCGATGATAGCGTCCACGCAATAACGCCAAACTCTCGACGGTATTTGACTGGAAACTTACGTGTTATCTATGCTCACTGCGTGGCTTCACGAAGAAAGCTCTGTTTGGATGTACGGGCTGTCATAGGGGGTTTCACGTGACATGTTTTAGTGCCTTCCACTACCGCCACGCACTGACATCAACCTCGCTCACGGTTCGCTCAGCGCTGGATGCCGTTTGTTCCGCCGCGGGAGGTGATCCGATAGTACACACACGGCTGAAAAAGAACAGAACGATCACATATCTGAATGAGCTTGAGCTACCTAAGGAAACAGAGTAATAACCGTTTAATATACCTGATAGTGCTGTTGAGCCGCTGGATTCCTCGTTCCACACAAAAAGGAAGGCGAATCCGTGTCTTCTTCGATAAATGGCCGTACTTCTTGTAGTAGTAGTGCTGACTTAGCGTTCGTGTCACTTGGCGAGAGGTTAGACGTCTGTGACTGCACGAGAGCATGCGTAGTCTGCTTCCTATGATGTCCCTGCTGTACTGGATCCACTCACA